ATATTAAAAAGTATGCTGGTTGGGGGCTTCCCTGGTGGCGCAGTGGTTGAGAGTCCGCCTGCCGATGCAGGGGACAAGGGTTCGTGCCCCGGTCCGGGAGGATCCCACATGCCGTGGAGCGGCTGGGCCCGTGAGCCATGGCCGCCGAGCCTGCGCGTCCGGAGCCTGTGCTCCGCAACGGGAGAGGCCACAACAGTGAGAGGCCCGTGTACCGCAAAAAAAAAAAAAAAAAGTATGCTGGGTAATCTGTTAGATTTGGTGAGCTGGAAATTAGAATTAAAGAAGAAAAATAATATACAAACACACATATGGAAAGATATATAATATATAGATAATTTACAGAGATTTTCTTGCTAAATAGTCACTTTCAATGTCTGGACTTCAGCAAGCACTAAGAAGTCGAGCTATACTCAATAATTATTCATCTTTGCTCCTCTTGCTTCCAATGCAAGATCAGTCCCCAACTGCAACTCTTATTCTGTTTGTCAAATACCCACAATATGCACAAGACTAAGATAATTTATTTTTGCTTGAATTTACTCTTTAAAGTCAAAATATGTGCCCCAAATCATTATTATTTCCTGATAATCCCAGAGAACTTCCTTTTAAGGTAAACTGCTTATACTGCATACATCCACCCTCTCTTTCTCCACACATATGAAATTGAACAAATTTCTAGAATTCTTACATCCCAAATTTTTAAATTTTAAATGTTTAAAATTCAAACTGCATTACAGTTTGTAATGTGGCATGTGATGTAATTCATTATTTGAAATATGAATCAACTGCCCAGAAGTATATCAGTATTAGTTTTAGATACTTTTTGAAATTCATTGGAAGTAACGAGGCGATTCCTAAATGAGATCCGCCAGAGACTTTAAGAAATAAAAGTGTATCTAACAAAATGTGTGTCAAAAAAGTTAGGCTATGTTAGAAATATCTATGCAACGTGAACATAAAATTAAGAATGAAAAAGATAAAGTAGGGAAAAACCAGGATCTCGAAAGGAAATATGCAGCTAGAACTACCAATTCTTGGTTAAAAAAAAAAGGGGGGTGGGCTGTTTTTTTTAAACTGAATATGTATTTTGGTGGTGAGTAAATGTGCAGTCTCACTTCCAGCACAAAGATGAATAAATAAGTCACAGTTCTTGGGCAAGTAAATGTACCTAAAAATTCTACTGCTACTTACACCACCATGAGTAAACTTTAAAGTAAACATCAAAGATTCTTGTGATACAATAAAAAAAAAATTCTACTGCTACTGATAATTTGATTTGAGAGTATAACTTCCCCTGAGATCGTCAAACTGAAAGTCAGCTGTAAGCATATTATATACCTTAATCAGCGGGGGATGGGATCCCAGCCTCCACAGCTCACCAACAGATAGTTATTGAAAGTGATTATTTGCTGAGTCCTTTGAGAAATTCAATAAGAAAAAACGTGATTGGAGTTTGCAATCTATCTGGGGACAGTCAACTAATGTACACTGGACTACTGTGTGAATTAATATATGTTAATAACTTAGAGCAGTATTTCGTACACACTAAACGTTACATAAACATTAACTGTTAATATATAGTAATAGTAGTAGCAGTGAACTTCTCTGGGCTGACCACATACATGCAAGGTGAGCACTGGTAAGCAAGAGGAGAGTATGGCCAGTGATTAGGAGAGGCTTTAAATGAAGGAAAGCTCGAGTTGATTTACAGAAGTATCTTAAGAGAGACGAGAGAGGGCACTGCTTGAGCAAAGTAACAGAGAGCTGAGGAGGAGGGAAGAATGAGGGAACCTGATTCAATACTACGTTTGGCACACATGTTCCTTATTCTTCTGCATTATCGCCTCTGAATTACAGTGCTGCTAGTGTGGCTGGCAACAGAGGCTGTGCAAGCTGACCAGGATTAGGAAATGAGGTTGAAATGGTCTATGTGTGTCCAGATCATTAAGGGTCTTAGATTCTTGGCAGAGGAGGCTGTTTTTTAAGAGTAGGTCATGGAGGGCCGTCATAGATTCTAGAGCATAGGAGGAGGGATAAAGATTCAAGGTCAAGCTCTAGAGTTAGGAGTCCTGGACTTGAATTTGAGCTGTTCTCTTATTAACTGTGTCTCTGCCTGGCTAGTTACTTAACTTCTCAGAATTTCAGTGTTCTTACTTGTAAAATGGAGATAATGATAGTATCGACCGGATTCTGTATGACAATGAATAAGTGTTGAGCATACAGCCTGTCACATAGCAAGCATTCTCCATAATTGGCAGCTATTATTAATTAAGAGGCTAAGGTCCTAGGTGATGAGGCCCATGTGGGTGAAGTTACAGATGCAGAGAATGGGGAGGAGCAAGCCATTCTAACACTCTTGAAGAAAATGTCCCTTGGGACACTCAGCCTTCAACAACTTTGAGCTTATAGTGATGATTAATCTAAGATGAAATTCAAAACAGACAAGTTAGACTGGGTTTCCAAGCATAAACATTTTGCTACTCAACATGATTTCAAATATGGAATTATCACACCAATAGATCACTGTGAAAATGTATCTACCTGTGTCTTTAAATTACTTTTATTCTGTTACCAAAGCAGGAGTTTAAGAGCTCAGAAAAAAAGAGGGTCTAAAATCTTGGATTGAATCAGAAGTGACTTTAGTAGGCCTGGGAATTACCACTTTGCGGGGGAAAAACCAAAGACTCAATAAACCGAAGACTGCCAGATGGGTACATATCCTAACTGCGGAGAAGATTCAGTTATAGGCCAAACTTTTTATAATATCTTGTTTGTGTGTTTAATGTGGCAATGGCCACCATCGTCCCTTGAGGTACTGTAATATACATACACGGCTCCCCTCAACACTGCTCTGGGAGCTACAGAAAGACGGATAGCAAATCACATTCATTCTTGTATTGCCCACCGTTATTGAACAAATAGTAGGTATTCCCATTTGTAGAACTGAAATGAATTTGTGAAACTGAATGTTCCAAATGAAGGGCTGGCTGTTCGGGGCCTTGAGCTTCAAGGTGGTTGTGTTTCTTCTACCTAATTATGCTCTCAACATCTAAAGAATTTTAATTTAACAAAATTAGTCTAATGCTATAGCAGATGTCTTCAGTCAATCAGAATGCTCTCCTTGACTGAATATCTTGAGGACTGGGAGGGAATGTGAAGATTTAAAACTTAACAGCTGTTGGGTGGGCTTGAATCATTCTGCTTTGTGTAGCTGGAAATAAATAGTGCCTTTGGATGAGTTCTGATCCAGGAGTTTAGAGTCCTGGGTTCCAGTCCTGCCAGTGCCACTTACCACTCCTGTCACCTCAAACATCTATGAAATGGTGACCTGACTAGCCACAACACCTCTTCTGCAGGGAGGTAAAGTTTATAAAAGAATGGTTAAGGAAATACATGTCATTTGCTGGTTCACCTTTTTCTTGGGCTTGAATTATTAGTATAAAGTAAGGATTTTATTTCTGGGTAAGGAAACAAGAACATTTTGTGAGAGTTATACCTAGAGCAATTTTTCCTCAATCATCTTTTTTCAGTCAGTAAAGTGGAAAGAACATCAGCTGAAGTTGACAATGCTGAGGTAGCCAAGGAAAGCAGACACATGAAGAGAATATGACCAAAGCCTCTGAAACCACAATTCAAAGCAGCTAATAAAAGCTATTCTTTTCCTAAAAGGTCGGCCCAAACTTCAATAAATGGGTGGAATATGCTTTTACAAACACAAGCCTTTATGTGGAACCAGGCTGTGTTCTTAAAATTGAGTAAATGCTGAAATAATGAATGATGAGGATTGAATTTTTTTAACCTTTTTTTTGGATTGAATCTTTACTATTAAAATAGTCTGTCATCTTTTTTATACTAGTAGCAATAAAGCATTTTAGATACCCCACAGCTTGGTACCATAAAAATTAAAATTGGGCTTATTTAGATATTTACCTCAGTCTCACTTAATGTTATAGTGATATAGAAAATGACCAAACACTTAAAGATTCTTTTCTTTTTTAAAAGAAAAGTTTGGGAATAACAATCACATAAATAACCATACTTCTGGATTTTTAAAAGTACGTAAGATAAGTAAATTTCGTTACAGGAAGCTAATCCTTGTGATCAAATATTTGAGTTTTCAGCTTCTTAAACCAGAAGAGTTTATAGGTCAAACAATGTGCAAATCCTATTACGCACATGAATCTTTTGGGAGGATAGTCACAACCCAATATCTGATGTTTTATTTTATGTTCACTGTGCTCCCTCACCCCACTCCCACACCCTCCCTCAAAAAAAAAAAAAAAAAGACAAAAAAAATAATTTTTTTAAGTACTAGTCACAACGCAATATCTGATGTTTTATTTTATGTTCACTTTGCTCCCTCCCCCCCCCCCCCCCCCCCCCCCCAAAAAAAAAAAAAAAAAGCGTATAACAAGTTTGTGTTAAGTACTCGACAAAGGCAGGCAGTCTTTGAGGAGGAAAGATAAAGCGTATTTCATATTTTCCACTACTTTTCCTCTCTCGTGAGGGGAAACAGTGAAAGGGATGGGGGAAAAAAGAACACCCTCACGCTCCGAATCGAATGACAAAATACGCATCTTTGTGAAGCTAGTGACCAGACGACATCTACGGGACAGCTGCATCTTCACACAAGTCATTAAGATGTAAGACAATTAGAATAAATGTTAAGCGCTGCTTCTTGATGTGGCTTGGAGCTCTGAAGAGTCGCCCCAGACCTCCCTTGGGATTTATAAGACACCGGTCGTGCTCTCGGCTCAAATAATTCCCATCCCCACCGGACTGCAAGCTGCAGTGCGTTTCTGAAACGCTGCCGTGCCTTTTCTCTACTACAGAATCGGGGGCAAAAAAGAGACCGGGCGCCCCAGGAAGAGTTCAAGCCACAATTCTGTCCACGTTAAAAGTTCCAGAAAACCATTTCCACTCCCAACTCTTCCCTGGCAGAGAAGTTTGGGCAGCGCGCGTTCTACCGCCGCGGCTGGGATCCAGCGGAGGATACTTACTGGGCTGAGCCAATTTTGCTCTCTCTCTTCCCGAGCACTTTGGCAGGCTTTGTGTCGTCCACATCTTGCTGTAGTTCAGTCATCAGGGCCGCGTCTGGAGGGCACCTTCAGACAGCCTCCTCCTCCCGCTTCCCCGACTCCCACTGTCCGGGGCGCAGGCCCAGCGAACCCGCCGCGCCCTCCCCTGCGCCCTGGGCCGCTCGGCGCATCCGGGCCGGCCCTGCCGGGGGCCGCCAACCTGCACACGTTCGAGCCGGCGCGATTGGTCCGAGCTGGCGGGGCAGAGCTGGGAGGGAGGGAAGGGGAGGGTCGAAGCGAAGTGACAACCTCTTTCTCCAACCCAGGAGGCGGAGGAAGAGAAAAAGGAAACCTGTTGAACTAGTCTTGCGGGCAGAGGAAGCTAATTGGCCAAGCAGGTAAAACATATGCCTAACCCGGCGCCGTATAAGTAGCCTCCTGGTAAACTGGGCTTTTTTTCTCCCCCGCCTGTAAATATGGGGTATGAAAAATGGGCGGCCAGCTGTAGATGCTGGAAGCGACAGGGCTGAGTGAGGCTCTCTCTTGCACAGATGCGCTTTGTGGTCTGGCCTGTGCCCCAGCCTAAATTATTCAAGCAGGATGTAGTGTCTTTGAGGACTGCCTGTCAGAGCTTAAACAATAGGTCGGTTCAGTGACTGAGGCAATAAGAGGTAGTTCCTGGTTGACCCTTCCTAGTTGGTAGGGGCGGAGGGGAGCGTGGAGAAGCAGCCGTCAAAACCTCACCAGCAACTTGCTTACAATGCGCCCAACCAATAAAATGAAGCCTCCTCTTCCCGCCTTGCTGGTTCTGTCACGTTTTGTGTTTGAAGCATCCACGTACTCATTTAAGGAACTTTGAGACCTGCCATGTTCTAGCCATTATTCTAAACACCCATTTAGTAGAGTGGGGAAGGAGAAGAAACTTCCCTCTGCCCTTCTAGGTTCTTCTGGCTGGTCTAAGGGTTAACTTGACGTGAGATAGATTAATAGGAGAAAATCAAATTTAATTACCTGCGTCCAGGGGGCTCCCTAAGAAAATGAGGCCCAAGGACAAGTTAGGCAATCGAGGCTTATGTGCCACCTGAGAGAAGAGAATGGGGCAGGGGTTTGGGACTTCATAGCGTTGACTGAAAAAAACAAAACAAAAATGCACAACCTAAAAGTTGAGAATTATGTTTTATTTGGCGGACTTGCTGAGTACTTAAGTCCAGAAGACAGCCTCTTGGATAGCTCTGAGGGATTTCCCGGAAGAGGTAAGAGAGGAGCCAGGATATATACGAGTTTTGGCAACAAAAACCGGGTAGTCAAAAGATTACTGTTAATTAAAGAAAAACCAGACATCTCAAGTTAATGAATTTAGCACTCTTCTATGTATGGGGAGATGCAAGAGTCTGGGCTTATTGAAATCATTCCTTTGATATGCACCTTAACTGTCTGGGGCCAGTGTCCTGCTTTTTTCCATCCTGAATCCCCTCAGGGTGCACAGTTGTGGATGGCTCCATTGTTTGAGGGAAGGAAGGCAATTCACAGGAAGATGAAAATGAGCAAATGGGTGGCAAAAACTGTTTGCTGGGTCATACAGAAACAATGGAACACAGAGAGGAATTTCAACAAGCAGACTTTGCTAGGTTCCTCCCTGTCTACACACCTAGTTCATAGTATACTGTAGTAATCTACGGTGACAGCTCCCTTCCTGGAACAGGTCTTCTATCTAAATTTTTTTAGGCAGTTAGGAGAAAGTTCAAAGATTCTTCCCCAAATCTTTTGGGCCTTGCTTGTTTTTAGCTTGAAATAATCTGCATGCCAAAGGGATGCATTTTGGGGTAGCAAACTTTGCTCCCCTGCAATAGCAAATAACGTATGTGTTGGTAGATTTGTAATTTGCTACAGAGTAGTTGAGAATAAGAATAACTAATATAAAACCTTATTGTTGAAAAAAAACCTTATTGTCAGAGGCCTAACTTTATAGCTGGGAAAAAATTACTAACGTTATGCTCTGGGGCTGCCTTCGGATTTTCTTCTAAAATTAATTTTAGATTTAAGAATAATTACAAAGAATATGCAACCATAGTGTTTATGTTGTGGAGGAAGAATGTCGCCTGCCAACAAGCCATCAGCCACTGGAGCCAGCCACAACAGCACACCCTGAGGGGATTCAGGACGGAGAAAAGCAGGACACTGGCCCTAGATAGTTAAGGTGCTTCTCAAACATTTTGGAGGTTCAAGTCCTTTCCAAAGTTTTCTTCTTACTTCTACGTTTACTAGCTTATATATTAGTCTGAGAGAAGAAAAGCATCTTTTTGTAACCTGCTTGCTCCAAAATGGACTCTCATGACACTTGAAAAATAAGTAAAAGAAAAAAGTTCACAGAAATTCCATTTGAGTTGCCTTGGTCGGTTCACTCTCTCTCTCTCTCCCTCTTTTTTCCTACCTGAGCACCACGGACCCCCTGGCTTCAGGAGCCCAGCAGGGCAGGGTGGGGAAGGCTTTGGGTGACCTGGAGGCTTGGAAGCCATCTCTTTGGTGTCCATAGCTGTCACTTCTTATGGACATTACTGAGGCCTTCAGCTTCTAGGTCCCTTCTCTAGCTCACCATCATACTCGGGGTGGGAGTGGGCTTAGAATGTCCCAAACTCTGGGTAGTGACTCTCACCTTAAAACTCAGGTGCCCTTCAAGCTACCCCCACTGCAGAATTTGGATCAGAACTGACTTTTTTGCCCCGTAAGTAATTTTTTTATTTCTGTAAAATATACATAATATTTATCGTTTTAACCATTGGTAAGTGTACAATTTAGTGATATTAAATACGTTCACAATGTATGTAACCATCACCACTATCTATACCCGAAACTTAAAAAATCACCCCAACATAAACTGTGTCTATTCGACAATAACTCCTCCTTCCCACCTTCTCCCAGGCCTTGGTAGCCTCTATTCTATTTTCTGTCTCTATGAATTTGTCTATTCTAGCACCCTCATGTGAATGGCATCAGACAATATTTTTCCTTCTGCGTCTGGCTTATTTCACTAAGCATAATGTTTTCAAGATCCATCCAGGTTGTAGCATTTATTAATACTTCATTCTTTTTTTTTTTTTTTGGCTGAATAATATTTGTATGTATATTCCACACTTGTTTATTCATTCATCTCTTGATGAACACTTGGGTTGTTGCTACCTTTTGGCTATTGTGAATAATTCTCTTATGAATACTGATATACAAATACTTGTTTGAGTCCCTGCTTTCAGTTCTTCTGGGTATATACCTAGGAGTGGAATTTCTGGGTCTTCTGGTAGTGCTATGTTTAACCTTTTCAGAAACCAGTCCTCTTTTGATGCGTTAGTGAGGGCAAGTGTTCATAGCTTCCCCGCATGGGCTTACAGCTCAGTTAAGGAGCACTTAGTTGCCCTGAAACTTGTTATTCAGTGTATGTGATGAGGACTTCCAGTAGTGTGGTTTTAAGTGAGAAAAGGAGAAAACAGTGGGGGTGGGCTAGGGAGGGACTGGAGGAGCAGCAGGTGGGGAAAATAGTCAATAGCCCTTTCCTAGTGGGGAGGAATTAGAAAGGAGTTAGTACACAATGTTATTTTACTTAGTGGTGCTTGCTTGAGTTTAAAAGACATTGTCAAACAGCTTCCTAATTTGTTTATTCTTTGGGCTATTCTACAGTAAAATGGAATGCAGTATTTAAAAGGCAGCAGCAAAAAAAAATTTTTAAATAAAAAAATAAAAAAAGGCAGCAGCAGTAAAATGATAGGGAAACTTCATTGTCGTCATAAAAGAGAGACATAAGATTATGTCGAAAATACATTTTGGGGGACTCTTTGATTTGGCACCAATAAAAAATCCTACCCTCTATTTTTCTTCCTCCAAGCCTCTGGGAACATAATTTCTTGTTTCTGACATCAAAGTTCTAGCCAATATTTCTTCCAGTTATCGAAGCAGTTCCAGTAGATAATGCCTAACCCATAACCTTTCAGGAGGTAGGGGCTTCTATTCAACAGCTTAGAATATTGTGAACAGAGAATGTTGCCTGACATTCCAGTAGACAAAGTATGTTGCCTGCCATCCCTGTTCTGTAAGGATCAAGCCATTAGCCACTGCAGGTACTCACTTATGGTGTGCCCTATGGGGAATTCAGGATGGGGAAAACCAGGAAGCTTTCTGTGCTTTGGATACTGGCCCTAGATACTAGATAGTTAAGATGTGTATCTAAGGAATAATTTCAGTGAACTTCTCATCTTGTATCTCCGCATACATAGAAAAACACTAAAATCATTAACTTGAGATATCTGTTCTTTGTGATTAGCAGTAATCTTTTGATGTTCGACTACATGTTGTTTTGGGGTTTTTTTTCCCCAGCAAAAAAACTTGTATATATCCTGGATCCTCTGTTATCTCTTTGGAGATGGAGTTCCTCATTGTTATCTGAGAGACTGTCTCCTGGACCATAGTCCTCAGTAAGATCCTCGAATAAAACTCAACTTGAAACTTTTAGGTTGTGTAGTTTTTCTTCGGTCAACAATATCGATCAGATTGCGGTCTCTTTTTAACATTGATTAGAAACACTGTGCATCTGTCCATAGTTTTGGGGCAGAGTTCAAATATGAGTTTGGAGATTTGAGTGGCTATTTGGTTGCAATGTATGGTCAAGAAGTTACCTAATTTATAACACAGGGTGGGGTATGTGTTTATTAGCCAATATAAGCACATGTAAAGTGTCATTACATGCCTGTAATTTTATGCATATTGTCTGATGACATATGTTTCAGAAAATGTTGATGCTCTTACCAAGATGAAACCTGGAAGTGCTGTAATAAGTTAACTACACATAATATTTAATATACATCATAAGTCATAGAATCCAGGAACACTCTTCAGACTATTTCTGTTTTCAATTTAAGGTTACTATGCAGAGGAGAAAATGGGGAAAAAGTGAGAGAGTTCAGAAGAGAGCTATACATGGAACTTCCCTGGTGACCCAGTGGTTAAGAATCCACCTGCCAGTGTAGGGGACACGGGTTCAGGCCCTGGTCCAGGAAGATCCTGCATGTCACAGAGCAGCTAAGCCCATGCGCCACAACAACTGAGCCTGTGCTCTAGAGCCTGCAAGCCACAACTACTGAAGCCCACGCGCCTAGAGCCCAAGCTCAGCAACAAGAGAAGCCACTGCAATGAGAAGCCCGCACACTGCAACGAAGAGTAGTCCCTGCTCGCTGCAACTAGAGAAAG